TAGAAGAGTCATAAAAACGTCATAAAAAGACTTTTGGCATTTCGTCAGCCGCACCTGGACAAATTGAGTTAACGCTTCTTTGCCAGGAAAAATGTAAACAAAATAAAATCATAAAACATCATGTAATTTTTAAATATTTTCTGCAGAAAAAATATGAATTATAAGCTGAATAAAAAAATATTTATGTAATAATTTAATCAATTTAATAATATTCAATTGATTAATGTTTCAGTGTATCACAAAAATTAATTACTTATTCTATGTAATTTCTTAAAAAAAAGCTATTCACACGCTAGATTCTCATTTCATCCAATTTCCTCACAAATCTCACAATGAATAATAAGTAGGAGATTTAAAAATTCTTGAGGACCACTTAAATACATTTAAATAAAAACAAGTAACACATTCCTACCTGGCCTGGTGACATAGTATGATCGATGGAATTGAAAATCAACCGCGACACAAACGATGACAGTTTACACTTGTGTCTACTTCCACAGAATCCACAATTCCAGGTTCCAGTCCTGCACCTTGAACCTTGAAGTCGAGGTCGTCTCGTACTTAGTCCTTTCGTGGTGTCCAAAGCATCCAAAGCAGGCCAGGGAGAACAGGAAAAATCGTCCAACACCTGCGAAGACCGCGAAAACACTGCAGTCTTGCAGCCAGAGAAGGCAGAACCGACAAGAACAAACAAGCACTGACGCAGGTCACCCAGCAGCAGTAGTGAGCAGAAGTCGCCCAGCGCGCGCCCTAATGAGCCAATCAGCGCTGCAAAGAGTGAGCGCTGCGCTACACCTTTCCTGTTTTATCCCTCTCGATTCTCTCCTTCCATTTACCAGTTTTTTACTTTTTCAATTTTTCACATTATTAAAATGATAAATTGATTATTTATTTTTAATAAATTCTTTTATAAATAATTTTATTTTTTATACTTTGTAGTCACTAATTCAGTGAATCTGCTTCTTTCAGCAGTATGATAATAAAATTATGTTTGCATCAATAATCTTCACTGAACACATTAAATTTTGAACTTAAACATGTTTTTCTGAAATTTTGTATATATTTTTTTCTAAGTGTGTTGAAAATAAATTGAAATTTATTTATTTTTTATTGAAAACCATTGATTTGTGATCCTCAAAGTTTTTGGAATTTTTGTTTCAATAAGGAAAACCCTTGATCTTTGCTTGAGAAATCTGATGGAGGACCGAAAGAAAATAAGCTCTGCAGTCTTATCAATTTGCAGCGCGCTCACGCCGTTATTCTTCACTTGACAAACTTTCTTTTGTTATAGAGGCAAAGGACTCTATTTTGGAGCATCTTCTTTGTGTCAAGATTATAAGGCTTTATTAAACTTTTAATTGGTGGAATTATAACAAAGGACACTTTTGGCGACATTTATCAGCTATGAACACAAGGGATTATTAACAATGCGCTTGAATTGATGCTCATTATTATTATTATTATCATAAATTTCTACTCTTAAAATAATTATGTTTCCTAATAATTTTATTTGTTACAGACAAGCAGGATAATTTATTCTTGATTTTGTGAAGTTTTAATGCACACTTTCATTACTACCCTAGTTACCAATTTGTAAATAACCGTCCGAGGGAAGTGCATTTTATTTAATTAATACTGAAGAATCAACTTCAAATAATAATGAAGAAATTCTCAGGATATTTTGAGATACAAACCACATACTGATTTTTGTTGAATTTTAAAAATACAAACTACCACTTTAAAGCAAATTTATAAAAAATCTGCACACAAATCAGGCTGTGGTCCATGGCACAAAATATCCTGGGAATTACATATTGTAAGATCGCCTGAATGTCTCTGCAAAGTCGGGATATTTTGTAAAGAAATTATTAGTGCCACACCAAAAGGCGCTAGAGCTGTGACGATGCCCACTGTGGCTGCTCAACCTGGAGCCCATTACATCTGTGCGTCTCCGAATTGAATGAAATTAATTCGACATAAGACTGGGATGTGCATTGACTAATTTTGTGCATATGCGGGGGCTAGTTACAATATTGGGTAAGACGCCTTGGTCTAGCGTTTGAGTCGATGTCACCTGTCACCCAAATCAGAGAAAAACAGTGATGTTGTGGCACTTGCGGCCTTCTTGCAACGTTGAGCAAAATGCATTTAAGGCGGTTTTCTTCTTTCGGAGAAGTCCCGGAGACTGATGTTGTAGGTACGCAAAAGCTCCTAAAATACAAAATATTATCAACATATTTTAAAAATACACTCAAATGACAAACTAAAAAACGCTATAAAAGAAATTTTTTCAAAAAATCATTTATTACAAAACAAGGTAAATAATAAGGAAAAAAAACTTGTGTGCATTATTGGCTAGCAATTTTGCGCTCATCAAAGCTGGCTGTGATAGGAGAGAAAAACACCACTCAACAGCCACTTTCATGAGCGCCAAATTACAAAATTTGCACAGCCGAGTGTCTGGTCTCGCGACGAATTTGTGTGGTCTGGGTCTGCACAATTGCTCTTCAAAGCTGGCTGTGATATGAGTTCATTACATGCCACATCCACTTTGAAGAGTAGCGTTTACAGACCCGTTGTTTACAGCAAGATCGGCCCAGTTTGGAAGTTGACAAAGATGTTCGTACGTATTATTTAAGGCGTAAAAAAACACACCCCCAACTCGTCAAATATGGCTGTGATATGAGTTAAGGAGACACACCCCAACCAATTTGACGCGCTGGGAAGATGCCAAAAATGCTGAGGATGTAGACAGAGGGCCAAGCAAAGTTCATCAAAGTGGCTGTGATATGAATTAAAATTAAACATAATTCACATCCACCTTGACGGCTCCGCAAGACGCGACTTTTTCCTCGTCCGACGCGGCGATTCGAGACAGGCAGGCTGAGGCGCTATTTCTGACGTTCTTGCTCATCAAAGCTGGCTGTGATAGCAAAATACACTATGACAAGCCAGCGTTAATGAGTAGGACCGAAAGAGAAGCTTCTTTTTCTTCCAGACAGTTGCAGATGATTTGAGCAGGGGCTACATGAAAGACAAGATAGTGAGATGAACAGTGAAAAAACACCTAGCTACCCATGTCTTTCAGGCACACAATGCTAATCTTCGTTGAGCTAATTAAAAAAAATAGCATTGAACTATTATATGTCCTAGCCAGAGTAATGAATGAAACTTTAATCTTTTTTGTCCCTTTATAAATAAAACCAGATGCCTCATAAACAAAAACAGTTAACAACATTAATTTGAGGGGGTGGAAATGCTTCCACAAAGTTTAATTATTTTAATTGAGAAAAATAAATTATACATAATAAAAATAAATTTTTACAGCCTTTGCTTAGCATTCTCCCTCTCCTCTCCTAACGTAGGCCTCTCAATTTCGATCAAAGGTGTGGTGGTACGGCAGCTGTGCGTCGCCTTCCTGCATTTAGCATTTAATTTGGCGCCAAAAGAGAAAAAGGCCATTCCTGCTACGGTCGGTACGGCGAGATGCAGGAAATGCCGCCAGAGTGCACTTGCATCGCCAATGCATTTTTCCCTATGCTGGCGCTCCGCCTACAACCCTTGTTCCCCATAAGACCAATAGTCCCCACTCCGCGCACAATTTTCATCCGCTCTCGCCGTGCCCACGCCGTGCCGTACCGACTATATTTTGTGTACAAAATTCCCCTAAAGACCTACCCCAAACCGCATGTGACATCAACTTTCACTCAAATTTTCTGACAAATTCTTTAAAACTACGCAATAAACTTTACGGATTTGCTCCATAATATTAAGTTAAAACCTTATTTTGGCCTCTTTAGGAGAATTTACGGCCAAAATTCGAGCGAATTAAAGTGAAAATAGATTTAGGTCTATTCTTAAAAATTGCTAAAAGTAACTATTTAAATGGGCAAAACGTAACAGAAAAAGCTAACCTGACACATAGGAGTGAGCGAGGAATTAAGAGAATTGATAATTACCTAATTTTTGAGGAATTGTGGAAAAACGTGGTCGCCAAACAATAAAACTAGAAGCCGAAAATGGACAAGTGGTCCTGCCTGCGGTTCGGGCGTCGCTCGTCTGTGAGGGAAAGATGGCAGCAGATGTTGAGCAGATGGCAGGGGCCAACTTAACCCATCGGGCCCGGGAAATCTCATTGGGCCTTCGAGGTGCGCGCGGCGTGGGAAAAGGCGCGGAGGGACACTTCTCGCTGCAGCGCGCCGCTTGGGCTTCTCAGGTTGGCTGGTATTTTCGCGCCTTTCGTCTTTTCAGGGAAAAGGTCGGCGGGTAATAGAAAAGTATGCGCGCGTCTTTTAAAGCTTCCCTCATAGAAAAAGCTCATGGCCATCCCCAACCTGGAAAGGAATTTAATTTCAAAAGATTACCGTTACCCGAAAGCAGTTACAAAAGGCGACCTGAAATATTTCACTGTTTAATTTTTTTCAACAACGAATCTCCAAATATTCAAAACAAAGCTCTCATTAAATGTATAGCATAAAAATAGCCTATCATGAGAGCATCGCTAAATTCTTCTTTAAGGCAGACAACTTACGAATTTTTCCTCATCAACCGTATTATTTATGAGAAAGCCACTGAACAAATAACAAATCGAAAAACTTTGTTTTTAGTTTAAACATTGAGAAGTTTGACGTAAATTAGTTTCGCGAGGTGGACCAAAATGTAGTTTAAACAAGGAAATTAAGATTTTAGAAAGTTTAGGAAGATAATTCATTATACCGGAAGATACACTAGACGCACTAGACATACCTATGGCGACTATGGCGTCCCAAGCACAAAAGTGAGTGAGGCAGGCGCGACCCTCACCTTTCGATTTGATGGCCAAATTGGTGCCTAAGTGCTTCAAACATCACTCAGTCAGCTTCCCTGTGACCAAATTGGCCGTAAGGCACTCTTTTTTGGCCGTCGGCCGCTCCTGAATTCGGCACAAAGCCTTATTTCGGGACCACATTGTCATTCTTTTTCGGCGCGCACTTTTCTGCTTGTTTACTCCCTGCCACGCCCCCTCGGCAAAGATGGGCGCGTCTGCCGTGTTTTGGTTTTGAATCAAACGTCGGTGGTCGACTGACGTTTGCGTTGAATTTGCCGAAAACAAAGGCTTTCGGCGCATGGTTGAGGTTAAATAAATGACTTTATGGAGACCCAAGCAAATGGAGAGCCTGACAAGGAGGAGGTTCATCGCGTGGAGCCGGATGAGGTGCCGAAAAACTGCGAACCAGGCGCCAGTTGCGAGAGCATGTTGGTCGCCTTTGGGTCCATCGAGGAGATTGTTGAGCAGGAGATGGATTCGAGTTTTGCGGAAAAGAATGTGCCGGGTAGCACGACCAGCACCATCAGCGAAATTCAGGATGGAATACAAGAGTGTGCTGTCAACTCAGAGGACGAGGGAGAGTCTTTGACGGAGGACATACCTGCCGTCAAAATTGTAACATAAGCTCGTAAATTAGGTCGACTGCTTGTAATTTATATTTATTTTTAATATGACAGGTTGAAGCTGAGAATGTAGAGGTGAGCACTCAGGAGGAGCCTTCCACTCCACCAGAGAGAGAATGCTGGAGTAGCATGGAATGGCGTTCAAAGAGAAAACACATTTTCATCCTCAGCAAAGCCGGGAAGCCGGTTTATACCAGGTTAATTGACTTAATATTTTTGAAAAATTTATTTATAAAAAGTTAAATTATTTTCAGGCATGGAAGTGAAGACAAATTGGCCACAATATTTGGAGTCATGCAAGCTCTGGTATCGTTTGTCGAAACAAACCAAGGAGATGTGATTCGTTCGATACATGCTGGCGATAGTCATTTTGTTTTTCTCGTCAAAGATCATGTTATTTTAGTGTCCGTCTCGAAGACTGGGGAAAGTGTACCTCAACTAGTTTTACAATTAATGTGAGCTTATTTTTTTTCTTTATCTAATCGTAAAACTTAAAAAAAAAATTACATTTGAAGGTATGTGTATAACCAGATAGTGAGTGTGTTGACAAAAACGCAGCTAACGAGGATTTACGAGCAACGGCGCAACTATGACTTAAGAAGACTTTTAGCCGGTGCGGAACGACTGCTGGACAGTCTGCTCGACCTGACGGAACGAGAGCCGGCCTTCCTACTTGGAGCAATAAGATGTTTACCCCTGGCCTCAACCGTGCGAGATCAAATTTCTAATACAATTTCCAGCATGTGCAGCAAAATCAAGGCAAGGTTTTTTAAAACGCCACTTATAAACTCAACACTTATTTGTTATGGGATTCTGAAAAGGAAGTTTACCCAATGGAGCAATCAAATTGCTATTTATTGTTTCAGAACTTGGTATTTGCCATTCTTTTGGCAAACAATCAACTGATCACTTTAGTTAGAATGAAAAAGTATGTGATTCATCCCCTTGACCTTCATCTGATCTTCAACCTTGTAAATTCTTCCGAGTCCTTTAAGACAGCTGAAAGCTGGACCCCAATTTGCCTTCCAAAATTTGATGCTAGGTATAATTCTTGTTGTTATATTGAATATTTTTTAATAAGTAATGAATTTACAGTGGTTATCTACATGGTCATGTATCCTACTTATCTGACGACTGCCAAGCTTGCCTACTTCTATTGACTGTTGACAGGGATGCTTTCTTTACGCTCTCCGAAGCAAAGCAGAAAATTTCAGAAGTAAAATAAAAATGATTTTATTTGAAAATGAACAATTATTAATCCATAGTTTATTAGCGTTTACGGAGGAACAATTGTTTGGAGGCAATCAACGTGTCAGTCAGCAGCGAGGGCTTGATGATGGACCAAGTTGGTGTCCCCGAAGTAAGGCACTTCCTGTACAAGGCAATCTCGACAGCCCAGTTTACGAGTCCAGCCCTTGAAGTCCCATATCACACCAGTGAGAATGCAGAGAGGCTCATGAGTCAGTACCAGGCACTGCATCACAGACTGCACAGCTCTTCCAGGCCTTTGAAACTGCTCTTTTATCAACTAGAGACTGATGCCATGCTTGGATGGGTATTAAATGTTTTTTTGGAAACTTTTTTGCTTATCCACGTTAACGTTTTAGATCACAAGTGGTTTTGAGCTTTATGTCACATTTGAACCTCTCGTAACTAAGCTGAATGCCATCAACGCAGTTAACAAACTTTTACGTTGGATGAAAAAGGAAGAAGACAGGCTTTTTAGTCTCAATGCACCAACATTTTAACTATTTACACACTTAAATTCACTCTTGCTTCTGTGCTTCCTTGTTGGAAAATTTAAACTTCCCAGTTTGAAGACCTTTCCCATGTTTCTTAGAGGAGTTCTTGAGAATTGAAAAATGTTAATGACGTGATGGTTAAAAAATTTGTGATTGTAGTTTAATAATGATGATCCTTAAATTTCTGTTTAACATATTTAATCTGCATTCCATTTTTACTTGCTATCAAGTGCCAATCACATGCGAGTACCAACATGGTTAATTTGACCTTCGAAAAAAAGCTACAAATTTTACAGATATTTTCAATGTAATTTATGCTGTTTGTTACTTGTACTTGAAAATAAATCCACATTAATTGCTTCGTCATTTGTTGTCACAGTAATAATATCATGGAAACTTGGTAGAATACTGAAATTATGGAAATTTAAGCACTGTTGCACATGCACATAGAAGTAATCTATAGTTTTCAATAATAATTCACTAATTTTATAATTTTTGTATAAAACTTTTAATTGATAAAGATAATGTTTGATGTTTACGATCAATCTTTTTCTTTGACAGCACGCATATTATACCGCGTGGATTTTAAAATTCAAAATAAAAACACCAACATAATGGACCATTTTTTAGTTTTATCTATCACGAAACCTATATCAACACAATCTTGTATTGATTTTTTAACTCAATAAATAAACTCTTTTTAGCTCGCTTATTAATTTATAAGTTTTCTATGTTGGTTTCAAGTAATTGAAATTAATTTTGTTAAAAGTAAAAACTTTATAATGTTTGCCACCCTGAGTATGACTTGTGTGTTTGCTGTTTTGTAAACGCAAAACGGAGTGCAGAGTGACTGCACATTTTGAAGCCGGTTTCACAAATTTCCAAGGTACAAACTAGGATTTTGAAGTTAAACTCTTTAGATTTTATAATAAGAAACTTCAGGTTTTAACCTTCAAACAATAAATCATTTTTATTACATTCAATAAAGTGTAAAAATCGAGATTCTTTTTACCAACAATGCCGCTTGTCATGGCATTTCACCAAAAAATTCAACAAGAAAAATTCTTTTTCGCGTTTCGTTTCATTTGAAATTTGAACCCGTTTATTACTTTCATTTTTTTAATCAACTTCGATTGCAAAATTTTCAGATGTTTCTCACAAGATCAGAATACGACAGAGGCGTGAACACATTTTCGCCAGAAGGACGTCTTTTCCAGGTATGATTCGGTTCACTTTAAAGAAAATACTCACTAAAGTTTTGCTTGCAGGTTGAATATGCGATTGAAGCGATCAAATTGGGCTCCACGGCCATTGGCATTTCAACCTCTGAAGGCATTGTCTTGGCTGTTGAGAAACGAATCACTTCACCTCTAATGGAGCCGTCAACGATCAAAAAGATTGTTGAGGTGGACAAGCACATTGGTTGCGCTGTGAGTGGCCTGATTGCTGATTCACGCACCCTCATTGACAAAGCCAGGGTTGAGGCTCAGCACCACTGGTTTGTCTACAACGAGAAGATGAGCGTCGAGTCTGTGGCTCAGGCAGTCTCTAACCTGGCCATCCAATTTGGAGACACTGACGATGATAGCGGATCGTCTATGGTAAAAAATTTAAAATTATACCCACATTATATACCTTTAAAACTTCAATTAGTTAATCACAAATGAGCAATTTTTTGTATACGGGGAAAATTGCTGCTTTAAATAAAAAAATTTATTTGATATTTTCACTGATTTTCACACTATGAACATTTTAAAACTTTGGGATTATAATTGTTAAAATTTTTGTTTCAAATTTTAATAGAAAACAAAGTCTGCGCATCACAACAATTAAAGCAAATTTTGATTGTGGCCAAGCGTTCTGATTGGGTTTAAATATGGATATTGGAAGTGTGGATTTTAGACAGGCACATAAATTAATGTTGATTCTCTTTGGGCACAGAAATGTGTTGTCCAATCCACCTTCTTATATTCATAAAGGTTAAAAAAAATTGTTTCCAGCCAATCAGCAGGCTGAAGCAACAATTTAATTTTGTTTGATTGTTGTGATGCACGGATTTTCGTAGAAATCTTAGCAACTTAATTACAGTGACAATTAAATAGACAGTGTAAGGAACTTATCATTTTGTGCTGGAAGGGAAGAAAAATTATTAAAAATTTGTATTTAACTTCACTTTGTATTTAATTTCACAAAAAGGAGTTTAATATTAACCTTAAATTTTTGTGTATTATTTGTATACCGAGATGCTGAGATCAGATAATAATTAATGTAAAATATGCAGAGCCGACCTTTTGGAGTTGCAATGCTGTTTGCTGGAGTTGATGAAAAGGGACCTCTGCTTTACCACATGGATCCATCCGGCACTTACATCCAGTTTGACGCCAAGGCCATCGGTTCCGGCAGTGAAGGTGCCCAGCAGCAGCTGCAGGAAGTCTACCACAAAGTAAGTCCCAGAGAAAATATAAGAAATAAGAAATGATTTTTTCATCTTCAATTTTAGCTACAAAGTTTAAAAAACATTTTTTTACTTATGCGAAAAAAAAATCTATTATTTTTAGGGTATGACTCTGAAAGAGGCTATTACACATGCGCTTACAATTTTGAAGCAAGTGATGGAGGAGAAACTTAATTCTACAAATGTCGAGCTGGTGACTGTCACTCCCGACCGCCTTTTCCACATGTTCCCCAAGGAAGAGGTTGAGGAAGTCATTAAGAATATTGCTTGAGAGGCTGGTTTCTTTAACAAATAAATTTCAAGTTGATGATGATTTCTTTAAGCTCAGTAATGAAAATGATGAAAAATATTGAAGTTGTTACACAAATTTATTATTTTCGGTGATCCACCTTCTAAAAACTGCATAAAAAATTAATTAATTCTTGTATCACATTTCTTTAGAATAAAATATGGTTTTTACCAAAAACTTTTTTTCCGTTTTAGTCTTTCCAGACTCCTGATTTGTGTATTTTTTGCTTTTTTTATGAGGAGATAAAATCTAAATATAGCTTCATTCACAAAATTTTATTTCATTCGCCAAAATCAAAATTGTCAGTTTCAAAAATGTTATTGTAAGATTATCTAAAAGAAAATTAAATAATTATGTTCCTGTAAAGAAACTCTTAAATAGGGCTGATTGATACATGAGGCTTTATAGATACAAACATTTAAATGAATTTCTTTTCTTTTTTTGAACTGATGGTTTTAGCAAGACAAGATACTATAAATTGGCTAAGAATGTTCTTCTAATTGTTGTTAGTGAGGGTATATTTTTTTGTTATAATTAGTGTAGCGTAGTGTACGTATTTGTTAGTGTTGTGATTTTTTAATTTTTTTTTATATAATTTCTGTTTCAATGAGTTTTTCTATTCAAGTTTGAAATCCATTTTCACAAGTATATTTTTATATAATTTATATTATATTATAAAATAAGTAAAATAATTTACAACTTTTTCAGAAGCATAACATTTTAAAACCAACCTTGATCGCAGAATAAATATGATGAGTAGTCAAAAAAATTTAAATTTTATGGTCTCATTGCAAGTTTTAAAATTCTTCAAGTAAAATTTGCGAGTCTTCCTCGCAGATGATACACACCACACCTGCCCTAACTACAAGGCTGCTTCATTAAAAAAAAAATCTTTGCACACTTCTTGAGAGACGGGCTGCTAGAAATAAACTTTATTTTTGCCGAGACACCAGACTAACACATTAACCGAGCAACCAACTAGTCAAATTATTTCAGAAAACCAGTTACTGGCTTTATTCTCCAGCTGCTGAAGCAGCGCCCTATTGCTTGATTCATGATTATTAAATCACTTTTTATTTTACTAAAGAAATCTCTGGCTTGGAGCACGTGTACCACTTCATTTTAAAACCACTGCACCACAATTACTGCGTTATTCACTCTTCTTTGTATTTGTTAATTCAAATTACAAACTACATAATTATATAATTTTTGGTATTTAAGTGAGAATTTTTTAACCATGTCAGACTAACCCAGAGATGAAAAAATTGAATTAAATTAAAGGGCTAAAAAGAGTTTTTGATGAATGAAGCAAAATTTTGACGAAAATGACTATATATTTTGATTGGAAAATTTATAAGCAAAATTAATTTTTAAATATTTTTACTATTTTCTTGAAGAGAATATATAGTTTATGATCATCATTTTGGCATTTTAGCCTTTTCAAATTAACTGAGCGTTATTATTTTTAAACTTTATAACCAAACGGGCAAACAACAGTCAGCCAAGTGGATAAAAAAAACGTTCGCTTTTGGTACAATAGGCCTTTGTGCGGATAAATTGGAAAAAAGAAGTTTCATTGTGAGCCTCAGAATGGCTGGTGCGCGCTCTGTGGAGTTTTAATCTGACATGAGCAGAGCTCTGCGTTGCGTTGAATGAAATTTCAGCTCTGCGGTGGTGCCAATTGATACGGCGTTCCCGAGGGATGGCAGCGAGCGAACCAACACTCCGCTCCTCCGTTCCAATTAAATCGACCAGTTTCCATTACGGCCATGCTTTTGCAGAACTCTTGTCTACATACATTCGTGCGCAAGTTGGAAGTTGAAAATTGATTTGCAGTGACAAATAATACAGTTAGCTAATTTCATTCTATTCTTTAGAAAGACACAAAAAGTAAATAATATTTGCAATAATAAATTAATTAATCAAGCAATCAATGAAATTTTTACATTGATTAATTCACTTTGAAGCAATTAAAATACAGGATTGCTTTATTTATTAACCATTGGTGATAAGTAAAAAATAAATTAAATTTACGTTGAGTTTGGTCGATTTTATAGTTTGCATCAAAAAGCGCCTGCCGTTTGCAGTAGCTATGCAACTGGCCGCACTTCGTTAGCGTGCCGGTTGCCTAGAAATTGTCATATACTTGGAGCCTTTCAAATAGGTGAAAACAGAAAAAATATCCAGTGATCTTCCTCTGTAAAGCGGTTCCAAATCAAATCGAAAAAGTGGAATTTTTCAGAGCTATTCAGTTGATTTTTTTCTCTTTTATAGCACTGCATAACATTTTCTGAATTATTGAAATGACATGGAAATTAAATACATTATTAAAGAGATGAGAGAGGCACAGGGAGATTATTTCACAACCTGAAAATTTCATCTGCGCTTGTACTTTGCCATGAAATTGCTTCACGATGCTGCATATAATTGGCACCAGTAATAAAAATTAATAACTCAATGAGGAACTATAAATTTTCCTTTTTTAATTTATATTGATTTAATTGAGCTTAAACTGAGTTTGCTTTCGTGATATAATCAATTTCACTTAAATTTACGGCTCCTCCATAAGTATACTTCAATCGAAATGTGAACTTTCATTGCACACGTTTGACTCACTTGCACTCTCAAGTTGCCAAACTCGCAAGTCTTCTTTTACATAATATTTATATTTTTCTGTTTTAATTCAAAATATTATGACGAAAAAAATTTCAATATTTAAAAATGGAAATAATTAATAATTGTTTGTTGAATTTAAATTAGTTCAACAATGGATATTGAATATAAAAATTAAGGAAGTAACATGGTTTCCGTGTAAAATTGGAGTCAACTTTGGAGTAACAATTAGGCCGGTTTTAGGTTGAGTTCGGGGTGGCTAGTTGGTGTGCCGGGGTGTGTACCAGAGCATTCATTCCCTCGAGAGACCCTTTGACGTCATTGAAGCGCGAAGGCGGCGCTTATCAGCGTACCCGCAGCCGCGTGGAGTCGTTCTAGAGCGCTGGGATTAGACACCCTCGCTCCTCACCCTCATTATCGCCAACCAACCCCAGCGCAGGCAGATTCACACCGAGCGACGCACCAACACGCCGTCGCATGGCAACCTATTATCTGCCGCGAATAAAATTGCGTTTTCATTTCCCAGGGCTAAATGACAAGGCGAGAGAGCTCTGCAGAGTGAGCAACAATAATCCTCGGCGGATCCGTCATCTAAATTGAAATCTTTCGGCTCAAGTGGCGAGAATCATTTCAGCCTGTGGAAAAGCGCTAATTTTAACATTATGCAATTTATAAATGGGACTAAAAAAAAAATTATTTATAAATTTTGATTTTATTACATTGGCTGCTCATGTTATAACATCCTATGAATTTTTCCCAAAAAATTAATTTTTGGGTCGTTTTTAATTTTTGTTTGTTAGACGCCGTCAATTAGTAGCAATCAGCATCACTCCTAGCTTGTTTCCAGTTCTCGTCTTTATAATTTATAGGGTGATATAAATGCAGCTTGCAGGTCGATTTCTTTCTTCCTAGCCCAATGGAGAATATAATAATTATTAGCCGAGTGTGCTCTCCCGTTTTTGTAAATGCAGCTGAAGCTGGCCAGATTTCCCCGACTAACGGAGTGGAAAGGTGCTGGGATTATTATAAATGCAGTCCACGAGTCGCTCGCTTGGTTTTTATAATTTTATAACACCAAATAGCAGTCGGCGGAGCGTCTAATTTAATAAATCCAAGGGCCTCTGCCGTGTTATTTTTATTAATTTCATCTCTCGGCTCATTTCCCCTCTTTTGATATCTGACTGATGCCAGTTCAACCTTGTTTTCATCAATCAAACTGTTTTATGTTTTCACTTTATGACCAATAAAAATTAATAAAATTAATGTATTAAAAACTAATTAATAAATTTTTTAATCAATCAGAAGAAGCAGCTTATTCCAATTTAAGTATTGATTTACAATAATGGCACTGAATGCTTGTGTATATATATCCCTCTTTATCTCTTTGGAGTCAAATTGAAACAGTGGTAATCCAACCGGTGGGACGGAAACATTTAAAGGGTGGATATGTGTTTGTTTGTTGCATCAACAGACCTGACCTTTTTATCTGGCGGCGGCGACAAAAGTGGCTTTTCAATTCCCACCAGAGTCGGTGGGAAAAGCAATTATCTCGTGACGACATCTGCCCAACACTCATCATCCATCCCCTGCCGCCGCCGCTGCTCGCTCACTTGTCACCCCTATGGTTGTTGTTCAACCCCACCGAGCTGCATACATGAGTGACCTCAAAACGTTATTAATTGGATTACATGAGGATCAATATGTCTATGCGTTTGCCAGATAAAGATTTTTTAGCTATTACAACAGAGCGAGAGGATCGGCTGACGCGCTTTGTGTTATTATAACTATTATAAGCTGCTTTCGTTTCGAGAGCCGTCATAAATTTCCTCGTTTTACGACAAAAAGCGTGAGCACGTGTTGAAAGATGCGCCACCGCTGAGATTTTGATTTGTGTTTTATTGTGCAACAGAGGCGGCGGGCGGCCGAAGCGTGGAGATAAACTTTTTTAATAAAATATGACGTGGACGCTAAATTACTGATTGGCTGATAAGATATATCTATTCATTTAGCATTTTGTTGTGCACAAAAACTTTTGTGACAAGCATACATTAATTTTGTTAATGTTTCTGAAGGTAATATTTAAACAAACTCACAATATTTTATGGTATGCAAAAAAATTAATTTTCTGTTGAAATCAATATCAACTATAATTAAAGATATAATAAGAGATAAGAGTCATAAACACATTTCAATACATAATTACACCTCCCATTGATTACAACTAATTATATCAATGAAATATTCTTGCCAAATAATATAGGCATTAATAAATATTTTTACAGTCATCGCAACTTCTTACAATTTCATGCAGTTATAAATATATATGTTAAGTAGTTTCAATTTTGCGTTAGTGCAATTTATTATCAACTTTGGGAATCATTTAGATCAGTTTATCAACATGTATGAAGCTTTTTTTTAAATCATTGAATTTCGATATAGCCTTGTACGATTTGAATTGGGAACCATTCGCTTAAATCGCATCGATGGGACGCTTAACGATAATTAAAGAGTCAGATCACTCAGATTCTCCTTCCAGCGTTTGCTTCTCGATTTCGGTCTTTGAG